GGGCTTCGGCCGCGGCTTCTCGGGGGCTATCTCAGGAGGAAGTCCCGGCAGGTATTTCGGGTTTCGCGGGGAACGCGGTTTGCTGACAGACAAACGAGCAGGGGACCTGCTTCGGGGGGAGGAAATCCTGCCGCCGCCGTGGTGCCGGCGCCGCGGCCCCCTGCGACCGGGCTCCGACAGGACAGACGGACAGAGGGATGGATGAGCGGGCCAGCGAGCAGGTGAGACCTGCTTTTCCCTCTACCTTCAGGGGAAAACCGGCACTCTGCCATTTGCATTGGTCAAACCTTGATTTCCCATACCTTAGCCAGCCTGACAGCAAAAATCGGGTTTATAGCTGAATAATCAACCCCTTTCGGCTTCTTTTCGACAGTGGCATGGGCAGTAATTGCATAGATATTGGCTCTGATCCTATAAAATCTATAACATAAAAGGCAGCAAATCTGAATGGGATCAGGATTGGGCCCGCAACCCCTGACTCTCTTTTAAACATCTGAACGTCGGCAATTAGAATACATGGGACATGTATTTTTTTATTAGGTAGAAAAGCTTCATTATTACTTTAAAATTTACCAGTTTTGAAAGTCAAAAAGAGGTAACTCAATAGATGCAATTGCTGCTACATTTAATAAAGACAAGTGATCACATGATTGGTGCTTACTGATTTAAACGGGTTGTTAATTGTTTATACAAAAGGCCAAGTGTGCTGGATACTTGAAACAGCTCCTGAAACATCATTCACACCATAACAGTGCATTTTCTTCACTTATGGTAGAGTGTATATCTAGATGTTAATTTGTCTCCTCCATGTCTGTTTTATAACCACAATTTTAGTTAACCATAGCTTCTTAGAATATGAGCATGGCTCCCCCTCAACACAGCTAAAGAATTCAAGCAGCCTTGTAATAAAATCAGGCAAGAAGTTGGTACATCCTAACTATGCGTTTTAATTCTTTGTTTGACTTATTTTTATACTGATTCTCAGTATCACTATAAAAATAAAAATCCCTGTATTATTTTACGGTCTGTGATAATGTGGGTGAGAAACAAGACCAGGGATCAGACTTCTGCTGCACGGCTGGCTTTCTTTAGGGGTTTACATGCACTTGAGCAGAGCTGACCGCTGAGCCAGCCTAACCCTTAGTTCTACATGTCTGTCCAGAAAAGACAATGGGAAGCATTAGGTTGCTCAGCACGGAAATGTCAACAGAGGTTTAGCACTCCCCAGCTGGCAAACAAAACAGCAGGACGGGAAGAAAGGGATAACCCCAAAGTGCACACATTTGGTGTTACTAGCACAGAAATGTAAGAGATGTGCGTGAAAATCATGGTTCAGCTCCAACTGGACCAGCCTGTTGGTCCAAAACTGTACCAGCCCAGGCACTTTGACCATATCCTCCTGCCCTGGAATGAGCCTTAGGCACACAGGCAGCTCTGCCGTTCTCTTCTGAAATAAATCACCTCTGTAATGCAAACTGAAAAGTGTTTTATCAGCATGAATTCCACCTGAACTTGCACTGAGTTGAGACCCTGCAATATCTGAGCCTATCATTTTCCTCCTGCTTGCCAAAAGGACCACACATCCCCCAAATACTCTGAAAATGTTTAACGAGATGCTTCATGCAGTTCAAAATGAATCACAGCCAGCACCTTCCTATTAGGTGTACATGCAAAAAATGGCACGAAAAAGTCCAAATGCCCATAAGAGAGAACGTTTATAGCATCAGGAAGAGATGCTTAGAATCTTGAAGTCAGCAAGTGTGAGGTCTATGAGATGACAGAAAGCTTCAAAGAAAAGGAGAGACAATGAAGACAGAGCCTTCTTTTTCAAGACAAGATATGAAGCGGATGAAGTATTGATACTTCAGTAAGATAATACTGACATATCTGTCTATACGCAGGTACGCAGTTGCTTGGCAGCTTAGACATCTTGCCAACCTATTTGTCTGCTTTACTAAGCTTCAAGGACACCAGCTCTCCAACACATCTCACTGTAGTAAGCTTTCCACTTGTGCTTGGAAAAATGATAACGAACATGGGAAGTTCAAAGGGCAGTTTAACAAATCTCCGAACTAACAGCACACTGCTAGGACACTGCTGTAAAAGCCTACTGCTCTCTCCCACCTCTGCTGGAGAGATGCATTGTTCAGTATCAAAATAATTCTCTAGGGCATTTATGAACAGGCACTGGGAAAACCAAGATCTCTTATCATAGAAGGGAAATGAATACTGGTAGGTGGTAACAGAAAATGCCTACCTACCTCCCCCATGGAAGGGAAGAAAAAAAAACCCCAACACACAAAACCCCAGAAGAAACCAAAAATTGTCTAATCAAAATTTGAAGTTGAAACTTCAAATTATAATGAAATAAAAATTAAACACCTAACAGAACTTCTAGGAGCAATTTCTCCAGGTAGACCAATATCCTTATGTAGGCCCCCACACAGAGGTCATACCAACTACGTATGTCAGTCTATGTTCTTTGCACTAGTCAGGCATCACATTTTAAGGCAACGTAAGAACATCAAATTCTTATCAAATGTCACTATACCAACCTCCTAAACTGTGCACACCTCTATTTTCCTAGAAATCAACAGCATCCCTGAAGCCCTATGATAATTTTAGAAAGCAAGCAAGCCCCAGAATAATACAAACATGACAACCACCCATACTGGGTCTACAAAAAAAACTATGCAAGAAATACCGTATGCTTTAGGACAAGTCAGGAGACAGTTGTTTCTACCAACTGAACCTATTTTTTTGGTGGGGGGGGGGGGAGAATGGGAGAAGAGAAGAAATACATAGCTGCTTTAGCTGCTTTTCCTTTTTTGAGGGCAAAGGGAAGGAAAGGCAGGTAGGGAGGGTGTGTGGAATGGCGGAAGGGGTGATCAGATTGTGATCAGACATTTTGTTCACACAGTAAACCTAAAGGAGTGTGACTGGAAACAACGAAGTGTAAGCCTACGCAATATTAAGTTTAAAAAACAAGTGTTACGATTCGGCTGCAAATTCATGTAGAAGAAAATGCTTGATACCACAACTGCACGTATGAGAACTTGAACTTCTTGCTTTTAGGAGAGGAGAGGAAAAAAAATGCATAGGTCTGTTTTGAGTATTGACTTTTAATAGCTTGCTTCTCGTAAGGGAACAGGGGATGTTTTCTGGTTTAGAAATACAGGTATTGGTTTAGCTTTAAATACAGCCTGCTCCTGCCAACAGGTCATGTACACGATTTATTTGGCTTCAGCTTTTGTTTTTAATGCATTAAGCAACCTTCAACCTTCTTCTGTAACAATATATAGACATATTTAAGTACAATAATAGTGTAGGTATTTTACTGTCTTCACATTTTTCTGAACATACTGGACAAAGCGATGCACGTCAGTCTGCCCCAAAACCCAGGTTTCATAAAAAGCAAGTTGAATACTGCTTTCAGTGGCACACTCAACTTGCTCCCACACATTTAGTTCACCAAACCTACAAAAACAGATCCTTTGGGAATATCAGGAATTATTTCCATCTTTGTCCAGTGACATCCAAATGCTCAGGCAACTACCGGTAACTTTCATTTTATGGTTACTACCAAAGTCGCACGCCAACAGGAAGAAAGTTTTAGAACTGGACAAGCTATAGTAATCCAGGTGTTGATAGAATTATATACAAAAAGGGGAATTTTATATATAGTTTTCAATCTGTAGTTTAATCTTTCAAAATAAAACCTGTATATATAAATGGATAACATTCAAGATCTGTATACAAATAACAGTTGCCTTCTGACTAAAACAATGTATTTAGATAGAATCTCACTTTCTGTTTTTCAGTAGCCGGTCCAGTCCTTTGGGAAAAAACCTTCAATTTTTAAATCCTTTAGGATCCATCAGATTCATTATATGGTCATGACCTTAACTTACACAATATACTATATTACGAGGTGAATCAAAGGGGATTAGATACCAAAGTATTGGTCTGGGTGCACTAAGCCAAACAGCTGTTTAAACATGATACTATGGCTGAAATAAGTCTCTGTCAGAATAAAAACCAACATTCATGAAAATAGCAGCAGCCATCAAAAACATTCACAACTGCAGGGATTTGTTACTGTGTGTAATTTTGCATTATAAGTAGGAGAAGCCACAGTAGTTTAAAGCAAAATTTTAAAAAATACTACTATAATCTTGAATTTAATAATGTGAATTGTCACTCTTATAACCGTTTATAGATGTGTACTAAAAAAATTTACTTAAACATATGAATTTAAGACTTTCACTTTATTCAGCAAATTGGTTTATTTACACAATGGGGAAAGCTGGTTGAATGCTGTCAATGTAATAAAAACAAATCTAACAGAGACAATACTGAACTCCCTCTATGTATTCATAGCAGAAATGACAAACTATTTCCTTACCTGTATCAGGAACATCAAGCGCAACAATGGGACAGTATCATAGGACACTGATTTAACAATAAACCACAGAGGTCCAGTAATACTATGGCAATTTATTCATGTATTTACTGACTTTAAAAAAAAAAGAAAATTAAAAGTCAGCAATATCCGGTATAAAGTCCTGTCAAATATCAGAGTCAAACTCTGATGAGTAGGTCAGTAAAACCTTACCAGATCATCCACAATTCAAAGTGACCTGATCTGCTTCAGACCACTAATACAGTTACAAAACCAGTGAGAAGAGATTGCCCTCTAAAAGGCAACAATGATCTGATAAGGGTTTAACTTAATGGAAGTTTTAAAAAATTAAGAATTGCAGAGCACAGCCCCTATTAGAACAAGCTAAGTTTCCAGACTTCCAAAAAAAAAAAAAAAAAAAAAAAAAAAAAAAAAAAAAAAAAAAAAAAGACAAAAGAGGGAAAAAAAAAAAGGGGGGAGGGAGGGGGGGAACCCAAAACACTTCAACATGAAGCTACCATACAAAGTTGTTGGGTTGATTTTTTTTTCCATTTTCGTTTTTTGTTGGTGGTGGTTGCTTTTTCTCATTTGTTTTTAAGTTTGTTTGTTTCTTTTAAGAGTTCAGAGTTGCAATTTAATCCTGGCTTTTTAGTGAGAAGGACAGTTTTGGCCTAGACTTTCCTTTGCCCAGGATAATTTTTTGCTCTTCCTTTTGCTGACGTTGTCTCTCTTGTTCTAGTTTCATCCTCTCCTCATGAATCTTTCTTTGTTCTTCAACAATTTTCAATTGTTCTTCAGCCTATATATGAAAATGGTAGAATTTAGGCCAGCATATTTTGTAGTCATAAAAGCAATTTACAAGTCTGTATTAGCTTCCAAACAGGTCCAATCCTGCATAGGTATATAAGCAGCTCTACCTGAGCTAGATGGCCCTCGGTTTCAGTGAAACTATTTGTAAACTGTTACTTGAATGTAGAAGAAACACTGAAAATTTTCTACAGCTAAGGCAGTGAAATCTTGAGTGCTTACAGGCAATGTTTTCCAGCATCGCTTTTCAAACAACACATTACATTTTAATTAAGGAAGTCCATGTAGACATAGAGAAATTCCCCTGACACCTGTCATGTGTCAGATGAAGGCACAATAATGTAACAGACCTTCAGAGGTCTCCCCACTCAAAAATACATGTAACACCCCCCCCCCCCCAAATTCAAAACCATCTTTACCTGATTTCTAACAAGTCAATCCTTACACTGACTTACGGTTCTTATAGCTCTTCCAGTGGTCTTCTAAAGGTGCTTATTTTGTTCATTTTGTCAGTTTATACTTTCAATTTTCTAATTGTCCCATTTCCACCATATGAGGTTGGGAAAAGGGTAAAACAGAAAGAGGTGTAAAGCAGACATAGTTCAAGCAATTTTAAGAAGCATCGTCTTTATCTGAAAATGGTGTAATTACTTGGGCAATTGAAACGAGTACGAGTTCAATCAGGATTTACACGCAGCTTAGTTTGGGGTTATCATTAATTGATTAGAATCAGCTCAATCATGCTGAATGTTCTCATGAGGCAGGAACCTGCTTAAACAGTCTTGGAGACCAATATAAGCTAGACTTTAACAACTTAAGACATCTTAAGCTTATGCTGGAAGTCCCTTTCAGCACTTCTACACCAATGTTATACTAGTCAAAAATCCAGTTTGTACTTGTCCTGCTCAACAAAACATAAGTAGTCACTTCTGTTCTAGAAGCTGAATGTAATTTGCAAACTTACTTCAACCTTCCCTGTGAGATACAGTTAAAAAAAAGGAAGTACTTTTTAAATTCTGAAAGCAGCTATCTTCCTCTGAATTCCTAAGTGCACCTGAACTGTCTTTTCAGACCAGTGTTACTGCTAAGGATTTGGTCTCGTATGCTCAAGAGAAGAGCAACACTACTGACATAACCAGCAACAGACGAAAGGGTCGATTTGTTTATTTTAATTGTGTTGCAAATCAGGCAGAGGGACCTGTATTCCCCTACAGAACAGTTAACTACATGTGCACATACCAGTTTAGCTTGTGCTTCTGCAATTTTTCGATTATTCTCTTCTAGTATTCGCTCTAGTTCCTCACGCTTTGCACGCTCTTCTTCCTAAAGGGGAGGACAGGGCAAGATGTTAGTAAAGTAAAATACTCATTTCTGCACGTTCACTAATCTTTCTCAGAATTCTTTTGTGAACTGACTTAAAGTGGCAGCTTTACAGCCACCTATTTTGTCTCACAACGGTAAACTGTGCAGCCACTAATACTGGTTTCTAGCACTCAATTTATATAATCCCGCCCAGTCCAAACAGCAACCAACTAAACCCTCCCTAATCATAGAATCCTGACAATTTATTACTAGAATTTTAATATCACACAAATCAACAAGGACAACTACAAAAACTGGATAGTATTTACCAAATTAAAAAGTAATATAGAAAATATAAATAAAGTGAATAGTTTGTCTCACCAATTAAGTATACCTACGTATTCTTTACCTATACTCCTTTAATCAGCATTAAAAGTTGAATATTTACTGTCTTGTCCAGTGTCCTGCAGAGTGTGCTCCTCGGCTGCCATACGCGCCAGCTTCCTCTTTAAAATGATTTGTACTGTTAGCTTGGCAATACCTGCATCAGCAGCTCAACCATTTATAAAGAAACAACATACAGGGAAGGCTGAGCTGAGGAATGCAGATGTTTATGATAAGAAGGAACAAAAATATGTAAATCATTCCTAAGGCAAACAATTAATAAGAAAAATACATTTACTGTTAGTGAAAAATACAAATGGTAATCCATACTTCATGGAGCTATGGGCTTCTTTCATGGGGAGAATGGACTTAACATTCAGTATTTTGACAATTTTAAGACAGCTGAAACTGTCATTTGCAGTCTGAACTTGGAATTCAGGAGTCCAGGGAAGGCAAGATCAGGAAATAAAGCCTTGTAATTGTTGTTTTCTTGGTGAATTTTATGGAACTCTGTTATACAACTCAAATATGAAGACTGCATAAAAGTTTTTGAGGTGTTTCAGTTCACATAATATATATCCGAATTATTTTAATATTTGGAAGATTTTAAGTTAGCCAGAGGTTTGTGTCTGTGTAAGAAAAAAAAGTTAATATGAACAAAGCAAGCATATGAAAACTTCTTACTATGACTAGTAACCAGCTACTAGCTAGCACACTTCACTCCAGGCATGGAGGGTTATTCTGAATTACAAAGAACTGATGGGACTTCTTCACATCACATTGACAATAGCAAAAATACTTTAAAAAAAAAAAAAAAAAAAAAAAAAGTCATCCATCTAATCAAATGAAAACCTCTATACATGAAGCAATTGCTGACTACAGACATCTACATTTAACTTAAATTCTTTGACAGTAAGGTTTGAATTTGCGGAACAAGTGTAATTTAATATTCCTGATATTTATCTTATCTCAGTGGTTTGGTTTTTTTTTTCCCCCAAATGAAAGATACTACTTGACAGTCAAGTCACATGTCATATGAAGGGGAAACTTCATTGCTACTGTCTTTCCTTCTGTAAGCCAATCAAAATATTAATTTAAGATAAACTGTGTAGGAGGTAGAATGAAAAAGGCATTTGAGACTTATAACTATTTAGCACAAATTTCCTTTAAAATTTTAAAATTTGCCTTGAAATTTCTGGATCCTGGAATGATTGGTGCAGGCAGGCATCAATGCCTTTAGTAGCAAATTACTGTCTCACAGAAAGACATTTTCAGCTTCTGCTCCAGCTGCTGATTAAAAACCAAAAAACCCAAGTCATATGTTCAGCTTGACTTCAGACAAGGGCAACCTGCTCTTTTATAACTTCTAGGGAAAAAAAAAAGGAGTTGTTAGTAGTTATTAAAACTAGATATAATGATTTGGACACAGATCCTTCGTGAAGACGTGGATGGGCTTATGCTCGAAGTCCCAGAATTAGTCCAGTGTTTGCTCAAGGAAAACGTTCATTTTAAATGAAGAATAAGAAACCTATTTGTTAAAGGCAGGTACTGCAGCTCACTGTTGGACCCTGATTTTTGCCTGACTGAAGGCAAAAGCCTCTTACAGTCTAGGTAAACAAAATGAAACAAATTAAGGATACATAATTACAGATTTTCAATACCCTTCCCCAAAAATGAAAGGACCGCTGATAAATCCTGCAGCCATGGCAAAAGTTTCAAACAATTCTGAAATATGTAGGTCAGTTCCATTAAAAATCAGTATCCTTGTTCAGGTTTTAGGAGAATAACTGTTTAATATCAGTGAGCTCCCCTGAATAGGCTAGAAATTAAGTTTCGCAGCAATGCAAGTTTATATGAGAAGGGAATTAGATTTGCTGTATTCCATCTCTTTCTGAACCGAACAGGAGGCACAAACCAACACTGAAAGTTTTGCCATGGACTGTCTCTACTTTCCAAACGACCGAGCGTTACCTCTCTGGCTTTTTGTGCTGCAAGTTCAGCTTGTCGCTGTCGCTCGAGTTCTTCGAGCAACTGTTTTTCCATGATGCGCTTAGCCTCCTCCACCCTGCGGAGAACCTCTCGCTCAATCTCATCCTTCCTTTTCTCCAACTCTTCTTCTACGCGTTTAGCCACCAGCTCTTCCACTCTTCGAGCAGTTTCTTCTTCTATGAGTTTCTCTTCAATTTCTTGTTGACGACTACAACATGCAAACATGAGGATTACCTTTTTAATGAATGGTTGCACGGAAACAAACTCTTTCAAATACACAGCATCAGCCACGCTTCTGAACCACTTTAAAACAGATATACCTTAGACACACAGATTATGCAGAATGTTTTACCATACATTTAAGGATAGAGAATATTCAGGCAATCAGTGTTTCTATCACAGGGAACCCACACAGACCATAACATATTTAGTATCTCTTCATTTCTTTAGGAGACTAAGCTTAAGAAGACAGCTTATCTTGACTTCTTGATCATTTTTAGGGGAAAATAAATATAAAATAAAAGACCCCATCCAACTTTGGACATCCTTCACCCTTCAGGAATTTAAATGGTCTCAATTTTAAGACAACATCTTGTAAAACTTGTCTTAAAGCAACCACCTCAGAAGCATCAAACTAATCCCTAGTATCTAAAATAGAAGACAGAAGCAATAGAATTTGTAACCTGAATATTTCAACAAGAATTCCAGGTGTTGTATCTGTAATCTAGTTATCATTTACCTTATCAAATACCTCTGCTCTCCTTAACTTCTTTATTGCAGCACCACAATAAAGAATAATAATGGTTTCTACCATAACTATCCAAAATGAAATACAGCAAGTGCTAAATAAATCCTTGCAATCTTTATAGTTTTCCACGTCCTGAATTTTGATAGTACTTTCAAATGTCTTCTTGTCTTTGTCTTTTATTTGCAGTAGAATTATCGCTTAGCCTGATCACTGTTACAAGTTTTCATTAAAAAGAATACAAGATTAGGCCAATTTGCCAGGTTTACTACCAAAGGCAGAAAAAAACCCCCAAAAAACTTTGAGGTAGTAATCACCAGTACCATTTGGCAATTAGATATCCATAGACAAACAAAAGTGAGTACTGTATAGCTATGTGTCATATCATACTACTTACTCAGAATTATTATGGGCTTTGGGGAGAAGGTTGTTCTTTTTAACCTTGAAACTGAACTTCCATTTTAAGTATTACGTTAAGTATGGAACAATCTTATAAACTTATCTTCTGGCCTGTCAGCACCAGAAATCCATGATTTAGAATAACAACTGCTGTTGTAATATCCTAATATCCTGTCATTTTCCTGTCAATACCCTGTTTGCATTTTCTTATTTATATTGAGACACACAAAATCAACTCATTTAAGAAAAAAAAAAAAGTTACAGGATTTATTAAGTTTTAGATTTCCTAGTGTACAATCTGCAAATATGCAACAGGAGATTATGAAGTATGGAATACTGATCTAGATAAACACGTGAAATACAGAGGCAAAAGGCTCCTAAATTCCCCTGTTCATGGTTTGTTTGTTGGCTTAGGTTTTTTTTGTTTGGGTTGGTTTGTTGTTTTTTTTTGGCTTTTTTGTTTTTTTTTTTCCCAGAAGTGTACTGAACCAAATGGATAGTTATCTCCTTCATTAAAAAGTTTTGGAACTCTCAACTTAAGACATTCAGACCCAGAAGACAAATTTGACTCTTATGTTCCTCAAGAGATAGCAAAATTATCTGGTGGCACATTAGGCTAGCATTTACTTTTCCTCAAGCAACACAGTATCTCGTGGTCTTTACCACCATTATCTAGAAAAACACCATCAGCCCCATTCTGTTAGCATGTTTCTGCCCAGCCACTACCTACAATCCTTTTTGGTCAAATTTTTAATTAAACATCTTTTATATACTAAGCATCCTTTTATTTTAAAGGGGTTTTTTTTTAATCCTCCATGAGTATTTATTCAGCAGCAAGTACTCTCACCATCCTGTACTGATACAGCTTAGTATACACAAGAGGCTGTTCCACAGAAACCTTTCCCCTGCTTCCCTCCCTGAAAACTCATGTTCATGTATTTTATTCAACTATTTTAGCTTTATGTTTGACACTGGGGAAATCTAGAATAAGTTACCCAACTGAATAAAGGTACCATATAGTTACCAAAATACCCCTGACACTCATGTCTGAATTAAGTTTTCAAATATTCTCAGCAATTGATGATAGATGTACTATTAAGCGCTGTGCCTGCACAATTTCTTTCTTCTCAGCCCAACTAATTCCATTCAAATTTAATTAAATCAAATGTCTCTTTTCACATTCATAGGCTGTAACAATATTATAAATACATAATAATATATATTGGCTTTAACTTTATAACAAAAATCAAACTGTGAACAGATATAAATCTCAGTGATTTATTCTGTAGTTTATACCAACTATTAATTATTTTATTTTAATTGCACGAACTTGCAGTATTTTGTATACAGGTGTAAGTTTATGATCCTGACCTACTGAGCCATGACACCAGAGCAACAGATAAGTCATTAAAGTATTTTTAGTATGCTCCATTAACTTCTTAAAGACTAATTTTATGAAATCTGCAGAAAAGAAACTGCTTGCATTTCATCAGATTTCTGAGGGGAAAAAATGTCACATTTGCAAGGCCTTTATGGAAAACTAGTATTACAAGAAAAAGCTGAAGGCTACGTACTAAGGTTTGAACAGACGTGAGACAAATAAAAGTTACTTTCAATATAGGAACTGTCCAGTAGTTAATTCAGTCAGCAAGGAAGTACTTCCTACGTAAGTATATACTAACATATGTAACACAATTTACAGATGACTTAATTACCAAAATTCTCTACTCCATTAAATTTTACTCCTTTTTCTTTTTGGAATATAAAGTGTATTCTAGAAGCATCAAAATTCTATATCCAATCTTTTCCTATACTGTTTCTCCTTCAAAAGTTTACTATCCTGTTGCCAATATCACTCAAATGTCATATTCCTCCTATACAGACTTCACAGGGTTTTTTTTTTTTTTTTAATCTCAAAGCTAATTTATGTAAAAAAAAACTTATATATGAACTAAACCAGCTTCAGAATACTAAGATAAACTATGCACTGCATTCTCAAATTGTTAAACACATCCCAATTCTTCACCGCAGATATGCATGGATTATTTTTATTAATTTAGGTACTGAATAAAATTATAAGCAACAAAATTAGGATCAATGACTCAACAAGCCTTCAACATTTTCACATGTGTTTGTGTTTTGATAACATCACTGCCAAATTCTGAAGTCAGTAAAGGGGAGCATCAATAAACAAAAATGAAAGTGACAACTCGGGGTGATCAAGCCTTCTGAACCACAATTCATATTTCAGTAGAACAATGTCACTCAATAAAACTCAAAGCTCCACCTGAGAATTAAGAGCACTACTTGGCTTCACACATACAAACACGTGCTGCTTCTACATTCAGTGCTCCAATGAGCAAGTGTAAAACTCAGAGAACAAGCACCACTTTATCACAACTGTTAAAACCGTTATCTCTACTGCATAAAGGTCTCTTTCATAACTTAATATCGCTAAACATCTTAATGCACATCCAACGTTCATTAAAATAGAACTTAATCTCTCTTTAGACTTTATAAATAACCACATCCCCCACAACAAAAACTGAACTGAAAAAAAAAAAAAAAAGGTTTCAAATGAAACAAGTCACCAGATATCATTGTCCCATTTGACAAGAATCCTAAAATAGTTGGAAAGGACCTTAAGATCGTCTAGTTCCAAACCCCCTGCCATGGGCAGGGACACCTTCTACTAGACCAGGTTGCTCAAAACCCCATTCAACCTGGCCTTGAACACTACCAAGGATGGAGCATTCACAACTTCCTTGAGCAGTGCCTCACCACTCACACCATAAATTTCTTCCTTACATCTCCCCTGTTTAAGCTTGAACCCATTGCCCCTTGTCCTACCACTGCTGTCCCTGATGAAGAGTCCCTCTCCTGCATTCTAAGCCCCCAACCTTCAGTGTTACTGTAATCGTTCCATGGTATTTCTTAAACCTCTAAGCAGAGCATCCCCAGACGCCTCCGCTCTACGCACAAGCAGCTCGCCACGCAGCGAGGGGAGGGGCGGGCAGTGTAGCACAAAGCCTCCG